CGTATAGAACGTAAGTTGTTAAACCCCATTTCATTTCATTTACTAAAACTTACTTTAAACATTTGTTTTATTGACATTTTTTATTTACTAAACTGGAATACTTGACATTTCTACAAATAAACGCGAACAATTTTTTACCCCATATATTGTCGCGGGAAAGGAATTAACAGTCAGTTTAGGTTGGAAATCGTAATTTACTCCGAAACGAGTCGGTTGGTGACTTGGTTGATTGCCCGTCAGTCCACCCACCGAGGGCCGGGCTTCGCACTCTCAAGTGGGGGCAGAACGCCCCACCCCCCTTTCTGAAAATCCTGGATCCGTCCCTGAAAAGTATTTGATGTTAAAAATAAAAATCAGTTAAATCCGACTAATTTTCGTCTACCATTTCCTAAAAAATTTATCTTTCAATTGATGGAACTTGTTTATCTTTTTCTATTTTAACTCGGTGCCATGGTGTCATTAGGAGTAAGGAACTGGATCCTTAGCCAGGGGTTCCCGGTTCGATCCCGGTGTTGGTCCAGAAATTAGCCTATATCCTGAATTCTCCTTGTTAGTGATGCACAACGTAATTTCTGGCAAGGAACAGCGTCTAGCCGTGTGGGTGGTATGAAACACAGAGGCCTCGTGTATACGTTGGTGTGCACGTAAAAGATTCCTTGGCAGTTAGAATGTGATAAAGGGTAGACGGAAAAGCTGCTGTCCGGGCAAAATGTCACTCATTAGCCCGCTTGGTGTAGAATACTAGGACACTAAACCCACATTTCATTTCATTTGTTTTGATCTCTTCTATTGTGTCTCTGGGGGTTGGATGGCCGAATGGTTAGCACGTGTGTGCTGTATCATAAGGCCTGTCATTGAGTCAACTGGCGTGGTTTCGAATCCTCGGTTGTACGTGACAAGGAGTAGGGTTGCCTGTCCAATCTCGTGGGTTTTCTCCGGGTCCTCAGGTTTCCCACCACTGCTAAAGACCCCTATATGCGCAAACGAATAATTGAAATAAAATTAAACCATATGTTCGTCCCGAAAGAACTTATAGTTTTTGTCGAGTGGACGTTAAACCCTATTTCTCCCTCCCCCTATCTCTTTCTCTCTATTGTGCCTCCCAAAAGAGAAATGTCTAACGGTTAGAATTCTCAACGATCGCTTGATTTAGACAAATGACAAATATTCAGTGTTAGTGTGGCTGTGTTGAATCGTCGTCGTCGTTACACACTCTAGCACAGTACATCTTGTTTCATTTGATCATAAAAACACAGACCATAAAAACCCGCGCCATTTTTCGTTTCGCACCATCAATGAACTGTTCGCTTCATCTTCTAATTACACACAAGTTTTATGACGTCATAAAATTAGTTCACACCCCAATCGTTTTTACGACATCTTTTGATCAATGCCTTTATTAACCAGACACACGTTTATGACACGTTTCGTTATAGCCGTCAAACAGTCCTTTAATCGAGACTAATCATAATGTCTTGAAATGTTATCGTATTTTTTGCTAAAGAGAAATTCTACATGTCGGGATTATCCAGTCTTGAGTATGACAGACGTTATCGTTAGTTGTATTTTTATCAAAGGGTTTATTTCTGGATGTGAGACTAGCCCGAATGTATGGTATATTAGATAATTCTCGCGCTACAAAGCCTTGTATTTCATAGTTTTTGTTTATATCAAAAGATTTTGAAGCCCCAAAGGGTCTACTGATAATAATCTAATATAAATTTGTCTGCAGCCTAATCATATATAAAAAAAATATCATGAAAGAGAAAGAATCTAGTGTTTTTTGTGCGTCGATGTCGATTTATTAGAAAAGTTAGCAGTCTGAGAAACATAAAATCAAACGAGAAAGTGGGAGGGAGGGAGAGAGAGGGAGAGAGAGAGAGGCAGAGAGAGAGAGAGAGTGAGGGAGAGAGAGCGGGGGGAGGGGGTATGTACACTGACACAAACTGGGTCATTTCGGGAACATAAATGAGAGAGAGAGACACACACACACAAAGAGAGAGATGGTAGATGAGAACTGGTGGACCTATACCCCTCATCACACACTGTCGTGACTTTGCATATAACAGACCTTATAATCTACAGCACGTGAGTTAAACCACTCGGCAACTCAACTCCCTTGTAGCCCAGAAAATGTACAGGATCATTGAGGTTATAGAAACATTTAAGTATAAACTATCTCGTAGTAGGTTTGTAGGAGATGTGATTCGCGAATGTTAAGCGAGTTTTACATTTGCCGTGCTGTTGTAACGATATTCAATTGAATTAGTCAGTTAAACAGTTTCTTGTCGACGGGTAGGGGCAAAATCCTTAGGTAGCGTGTATCAGCTTAAGCTATGACTAAGCTAAGCCATGACCTTTTTTAAATATAATGTTTCCCTCCCTCGTTTTGATTTCTCAACTATTAGTATAAAATCAAGCTTTGAAATGTAGTAGGAGTCTTTGTTAATCCAAAGGGTAAATACAGCTCTATATAAATAAGTTGGCTTATTTTTACACTGTTATAAAATATTTATAACATTTACATCCTTTGATGGTTTTTGTTCATGTTTGCTAAAAGTGAAAACTAAATATAAACATTTTATCATGAAATTATATCAAGATATTTTTATTGAACAACGTGGATGTAGATCTCGTGTAAGATATAGCTAGGTTGGTGTGGGATGTTTTCCTTTAATGTCATCAGAGTCTTTAAATTCAAACAAAAATACAAGAATTTAATCAAAATAGTTGATCTTTGATGAAGGTACAATCGAACGCAATCTGTCCACGTTTACCTGAAAATTAGGGCTGGCGAATAATAGAAGAATTTAATCAAAATGGTCGATCTTTGGTGAAAGTACAATTAAACTCAATCTGTCCATGTGTAGCTAGAAATTATTACTGTGAAGGAGAATTTATCTAATCATTTGGGAGGGACGAAACCTCTAGGTCGATGAGTATACTAAGTACATGTTTATGTTCATAATATCACAACTTTATGGATTTACTGCATGTTAGTTTATTACATACAACGTTTCAATACTCTTACAGGTATCTTTATCAAGAAATGGACAATAATGGATCCAGCCATACATTGTTATTATAATTTAATTAATTGTTTTGATTGTTATATACAGTATATTACTCATGGATGTACTATAGAATTTATGGTTGGATTCATTATTGATCATTGCTTGATAAAGATACCTGTAGGAGTATTGAAACGTTGTATGAAATAAACCAAAAAGTAGTAAATCTATTAAGTTTAAGACCCCCCTCACCCCCCCCCCCCCCCAAAAAAAAAAAAATATAGATAAATAAAAAAGATACCCCCCCCCCCAAAAAAAAATAAATAAATAAATAATATCCCGCTTAATGATTCGGATCAAAAATATCAACATAGAGAGCTTGTGCAATCACTGGTTTATTATATAAACACGACGTTTCGATAAGTATCATCTTATTGTTGATCCCATATACTAGGTTATTTTAAACTGTGTTTTATTCCCCGACCACCGAGTCTAGATTGATACATACGCGATAAAAATACCTGACAATAGACACGCGTCATTAAAACAGACATAAAATCAACCCCATTCACCTCACTCTTTGATCATCAACCATAAATATATGTCTGGTCATACACGACTACATAATTATAAGTCCTAGTTATCAAGTTTAGGAATTGAGTTTTTTGCCATACACGACTATACATATTTATCCGAGATATTTATCCAGTGTTGAAATTGAGTTTTTTTTTTGTTTTTGTTGTTTTGATTTGTGTTTATTCTTGAAACAAGACGGATTAAACAATGAAACAACACGATCTATAAAAAAAATGTTGTGAACGCGCTACGTTCTTTATAAAACAGGTCGCAAAACAATTACGAATGATCAATATAACACACTTGTATGAACTTAACCTATCTATCTAAATACAATCAAAGATGTGTGTAAGTATGTATGTTCGCCCATCCATTACGTCGCCGCGATCCACCCCCACATAATATGGTACCAAATTAACCTGCATGACCCCCAGAATGTTTAAGGTCATGGAATTTAAGCGAATTAGGCCCCGGGCAAATTAGACCCTGCGAGAATTTGGTCCAGGACTTATTTCGACCCAGACCGAATTGAGACCCCGAAGAAATTGGGCCCCGGTCGAATTTGGGCCCCTAGCGAAGCCGGGTATCCTGCTAGTATCAAATAATGTTCTGACTTTTCCCGATCTGTCCCGAATGGGCAACGCAGGGTCTGCCATTGAGTCAAATGGAGTGGTTTTGATTCCCCGCTTGTACGTGACAAGGAGTAGCCCCCCCCCCCACTGCTAAAGAATCCTACGCATAAGCGAATTATTGCAATGAAATTGAACCGTGTGTTAGTCCCAAAATAACCTTGTTTGTGTGTGTGACCCCTTATACCCCATGGGTACCCCAAAACAGAAAATGTGCCATTGGTTATTGGTCATTACCGTAATTACATCGATGCCATGACATTATACAACCTACACCATCTTGATAAGAAAATACTTTTCTATATAATTAAAATATGTCTTGAACAAGTTGGGTCTTTAGAATAATATTAAACATGCATTATGCAAGAGCTAAATCTGCCTATTTCAGGTCTTTCTTTAGGCCCGAAATGTTATCTAACTTATTAATTAGACATTAATTAACCTATCCAGGTCATAATCAACTTTAGATGGCAGCGCTAGCCCGCGATCTTTAGTGGATTGTAAGCCGATTTACTGCATAACTTTCCTTCTCGATGAAACGATTAAATGGATAATCGAGACTATGCTGTTTATTGTACTGACTTTAGTAATGATGACCGAGGCTTAGGGGAATTTCAGTCGCTTAGTTCACGGTTCATAGTGGATCAATTTGAATGAAATTTTCACCAAATTGCCTTTACATTATCTAGTTTTTAACTATTATAGTGAGAACTGCCAACTCGTTACCGAATCTCCCAAAATGTATCTTTAATTATGATATATTTCTCATTTTTATATGTTTCAGAATGCCATCACCTTGGCAACTAGCGATTGTGAAAAACATCAAGTGGAAGTTGAAGGGCGGTGCTGTAGTGAATGTAGCATAGGATCAGGAGTAGCTTCCCCTTGTAACGCGGGAAACAACACGATATGTGAAGCATGCATTGATGGAGAATACTACTCGAGTACATCAAGTCATACACATTCCTGCATTCCGTGCTCAAAATGTCCGAAAAATTCCCGAGTAATTCAAGAATGTACTAATTCATCAGATACAATTTGTGAATGCGAACCAGAATTTCATTTAACTGAGAATGGCGAGTGTAAACTGTGTGATTTATGTCCGGCAGGATGGGGAGCCTCGGTACCGTGCAGCAGGACTCAGAATACCGTGTGTAATCAATGTACTAATGGAGCTTTTTCTAAAGTCCTCAGCGCGACGAGTGGATGTTTAGTGTGTTCCGTGTGTGTTCCGGGTGCACAGATGTTGCAAGCGTGTTCTGCGACTGAAGACACGATATGTATATGTAAGTATATGTCTCTTTTCTTTTAAAATCAATCACTTCTAAAATTAGACTATTTAATTCCAACTATGGTATTGTGTACCATTCTGCAAACAGAGAACTATGTACTTCCAGGATATACCTCTGCCCTTAATGACAGCCATGTTGAAAAATTAGTACATTATTTTGTTATGTGGTTTTATACAGTTTTGCATCTTTGATGCACACAAATTACATTCAGTATGACAATGGCAGCATTATATATACTTCTCAAAATTCTCAAAGCATACATAGTGTTTTCGACTAAAATTGTCGATGTAAGAATTAAAATGTCGGTCAACTACCTTCGTGTCTGTTCTCAAGCGGAGCTAATTGTAGACCGACAGTTTAAGTTTCGTATGATTATGTGCCTGTTTCGCGTAAAAACACTCGGTAGTCTCCGACAAGCTCCGTTAATTTCCGTTCGCCCCCCTGGCCTTATTTCGCACAAATACAGCGATTTCCCTATAATGATTTTATCACTATTTCCGGAACTGTGGGTAAACCCCTAGAATCGTCAACGCTGATTGATTAATCATTGTCTGACGTCATAGGGCCAAAAGTCGCTCTTATGACCCCTGACACGACCTTCCACTACAACCGGTCAGATCTTCATGTAGTGTAGGCCATCGAAAGTATAAAAAAAATACGAAACGAAATATAGATGTGTATTTTAATCAGATTGTTATCTACCCGAGGTAAGTGTAGGGGCTGAGAAATGTGAGAATGCAAGACATTTGAAATATTTAAAAAAAGATTTGGAGCCACGGTGGCTAGGTGGTTAAGGTGTTGGCTCGCTAGTCTGGAGGTCTGGTGTTCGATCCCTGCATTGGCCGAGAAAGTTCATCTGGATTTTCCGACCGTGGTTTCCCCTTGTCAGTGGTGCAGAACGGAGGGCCTGACAAGGACAGCTGTCTAGTCCTTCGGATGAGACGGAAAACCGAGGTCCCGTGTATACATTGGAATGCACGTAAAAGATCCCTTGGCAGTTGGAATTCGATATAAGAGTAGTCGATAGTGCCGCTGCCCGGGCAAAATTTCCCTCATAGCACACTGTATGGCGTATGCCCGTCTTCATTAGCCCAGTATAGGAGCAGAATAGTAGGACGTTAAACCCCATTTCATTTCATTTCATTTTAAAAAAAGATTAAATAAACTTTTTAATTCACATTGAGTAGGGGAACTTGTATGCCACCGGGTTGGACGAAGGGGTGGGGGGGTGTATGGTTTAACGCGTGTGCGTTAGATCATAAGGTCTTTCACTGACTCAAGTGACGTGGTTACGATAACCCGCTTGTACGTGACAATTAGTGTGGTGACCTGTCCAACTTCGGGAGTTTTCTCCGGCTCCTCCGATTTCCTAATAATTACCCCGGAAAATCCCCATGAACTTTCTCTGACAACACAGGGATCAAACACGTGACCTCCAACGTCTTACTCACTGATCCAGCGCAGCTCCCTTGTTTAAAGAAAGTAAAGAAGATGTTTTGTTGTGAGTAGAGGAAGGGTGAGACTGATAGACTAATTAAAGCTATAATGTATTGTTAGATGAGGAAACCATCTGTCTGTAAGTTAGAATATAAACATGGAGTCGGTCTAAACGAGATACATGACGAGCTTTCTGTAGCTGGTCGACTAGAGCTGATCGAGATAACAGTCCGCTGTAAAGACGGACGACTGAAGACGAAACGCAGTTTTATCGTTCTTATGTTTTTGATTTTTCTACATCTTTTTGTCCGTTTGTTGATGAAACGGGTACGAAGAGAAATGGAGGAATAGTTTGTTGGTTTTCAGGTTCGTTTTGTTTGAGGGTTTCAATTTCATGTTCGCTTTGATCGGGAGTTGGGGGGGGGGGTGAATCATTCATCTGTATTTTGTTCAGGTTCATGTTCGTTAGGGCGTTTCAGGTTTCGGTTTTTCACTTCGTTTTCAGGGGAAGGGGTGTCATTGAGCAACTGGCGTGGTTTCGATTCCCTGGTTGTACATGACAAGGAGTAGGGTCGCCTGTCCAACTTTGTGGGTTTTCCCCGGGTCCTCCGGTTTCCTCCCACTGCTAAAGACCCCTACGCGCAAGCAAATTATTGAAATACAATTGAACCATATGTTAGTCCCAAAAATGACCTAGTTTGTGTCGAGTGGACGTTAAACTCTCTCTCTCTCTCTGTCTCTCTCTCCCTCTCTCTCTCTCCACTTCAAGACCAATATTCCGATCTATAGTACCAATAATCTTATATTATCAATTACCAAAAAGCTTTGAAACTCACTTTGTAATATATTTGACTAGATCAGTCTCTGGTGATATTTGTGCAATTTTTAGAGATATTCGGACCCCCGAACTTGTGTCACGCAACTCAAACCGTCCCCCCGGAGGGCGAAGGGTCTGACAAAGACAGCTGTCTTGTCGTTCGGATGGGATGAAAAATCGAGGCCCCGTGTATACATTGGCGTGCATGTAAAAGATCCTTTGGCAGTTGGAATTGGATATAAGAGTAGGATATAGTGTCGTTGTCCTTGCAAAATGTCCCTCATGGCACACTGTATGACGTATGCCCGTCTTCATTAGCCGAGTATAGGAGCAGAACAATAGGACGTTAAACTCCATTTCATTTCATTTCATTTCGTAACACCATTATAGACCCTTGGGCAGTGCACTGGGTCGCTGCCTGCACAGCCCCTCACATAAGTAAATATGAAGTATTGGTACTTCAAATAAATTCGGTATTTAAACAGCAAGTCACAATACACAGATGTTAACATGGGACCCCCGAGCAACTGCCGAGCATGCCCGTGATTTACGACGGCCCTGAATAATCACGTGTTACATCTGAAAAGAAGTTAGTCATTTATTACAGACATTTTGCACTCGCCTGTCTACCCATGAACATTAAACAACCCATACAAGCAACTAGTGGGAGAAAAAAGGTTTGAAATTTGAAAGGACGACATTTGGCTAACACGCTAAATGGTCTGTGCTCGATTCAAAATTACATTTATACTGTGGAAAGATCTCATAAAAATCATATAGACGGAACAAAACCTTCTCCTATTTGTAAGCTTGACTTAAGCGGCGTTCACACGATCACGGTGTATGACGCCATATTTGACTTGGCAACCAGAATTCTTGCTATTAAATATATCTATGTCTTTTTCTGTTGCTTCGACGTTCTCTGATCGAAATGGATGTAAACCTGCCAGAGCCAGAATTAAAGTATATAATAACTCTTTATAGGCAACATGAACTTTTGTGGAATCTGCTTCAACAAAACTACCATTTTAAACATTTTTTCTTCAAACGACATCTTTTTATAAATTATAAAGAACGAACAGCAGGCACACGTGCGTTTGGCGTCATTTTGCCGTACAAAGCACAGAACGATTGTACCCGATATGTTGCATACGACGGTTGTATGAATTGATTGTATCGTGTAAACTTCGCTTAAATATCAGCGGAGTAAAGAACAACCAAGGGAATGTATAGAAGGGGCTTTTAAGTCAATTTTACTATCCTGTCGAATAAGTAGCCATGTGGAAACGGAAGCTGTAAAGTTTGGTTTAAATATTTTATGTTTGTGAGCAAACCTACCATTTCAAGTCATAAAAATCATTGATGCATGGAGTATACGACACGACAAAGCGATCGTGGTTTGTGATTAGAGTAGTAATTTGTAGTTTTTCTCCCCGGTGTTGAAGAAAGTTGTAGTGATAGGGAGAAGCTGTAAATGTAGAGACTGGTGATGTTTATCTCTTCTTGTTTTTATCGCGTCTTTCATCCTATAAAATAAACTTTAAATATCGTACTGGCCCACACCTGTATCTGGTATCTGGTCGCCATCTAAAAGGAAATACCGGTGTCTATAAGGCCGTGATGACCCTCGGGCTACACGGCCCCTTTATATCTGTTTTACTCTGTATTTTATCGGGACAATATTTTAATATTTCAAGACCCAGTGTACTCAAATTCATTATTTAAAAACCTTTTTTTAAAGGAAATAAAACCAACATAATAATGGTATATAATCTCGCAACTTGGGTTGCCCAACGTACAGGCCCACCCGTATTCTATATCTAATTGCATATCGTTATATATGTTATAGTGTATCTTTGTATATATTTTATGATATAATTTTAGTTAATGAAATAATTGACCAAGGTCCCAATTGATATCTCATTAATCTTTCAAATCTTTTAACTGTTTGAGTTTATACTTATTATAACGATATAATATTATGTAATTATAGTTAACATATAGATATCATCTTCTGTATTTAAACATCTGTTTCCTATGTACAATTTAACATTTCTGATCAAATATTATTATATATTTATTTTGATCCTAAACTTGTATAATATGTTCTATATTCTACTGTAACTTTAGCCTGGTGACCGGCTCGCCCTAGCGATACCTATCTCGTTATTATGACCGTTAACCATTTTTTGCACACTCGTTATTAAAAAGTAGAAGTTATCATCGTCGTTAGTGTTGGAATAATCTACAACCCCTAGGAAACAGAACCTCGGCATATATACTCTTCAAAAAAAGTAGGGGATATTGAAATGCAAATATCTATGCAGGTTGTGATATGATAAATAGTTATGGAGACTTGATATGCTTTGAGAGTATGTTCACAGATGAAGAACTTATCGCCCCAACAGAACCACTGAGCTGCACGTTCGACACGCAATAGCGCTATACACATGGCAGGGGTTCATTGTCAAATTTGACACTTCAAGGAAGAGTTGATGAAAACTGCCACGTGTTGGTTTATCTATCCATGTTTGCTTTCCTATCGGTTCTTGCATAAGATTTACTGTTTAGCGTATCTTTGCTTTAGTGTGTTACGTTTAATTTGATCGACAGACGTGTTCGTCGACGTCAACGGCAACCGACAACACTGCAAGAATTGGCCGTGGCACTGCAAGAGGAGTGGGTCAGATTGCCCAAAATCGTGATTGGACGGTTGATTAGGAGCATGCCACGACGAATT